CTCTGACCCTATTCCTTCCCTGGACTTAAGAGCAGGAGCTCAGGCATCGCCCCAGGCCCCACCATCACCCAGCAGGTTTCCTTTCCCTTCCCACAGCGCACGGTGCCACTTTTCCCTGCAGCGATCCATCACGGCAAAGCCAGGGATTTACCCGCCTTTGCTAACTCAGTGTTGCTCCGGAGCTCTTTGCCCTCCCTCCCTCCCATCCCTCCCCTCCCCAGCTCCAGCGCAGGGTAAAATTGATCAATGCATGCTTATTGATGGTTTGAATGCTCAAAAGCGGGGGGGGGGAAGAGGTGTTGCCATAGAAACATCGATAACGTTCCTGTCTCCGCTGCGCCTGCGTCCCCTGGACCCACAGCCTTTGGTGGGAGCCGGGAGGGATCAGGGTTGGGATTGGGGTGCTCAGGGTGGGTTCAGCCCCCCCCCCCCGGGTGCCACTCCACTGGGTTTGTTGGTCGCTGCTGTGGTCCCCATGGTGCGAGATGCAGCAGGGATGCAGGGGAAGGGAAATGCCCTTCCTCTCATCACAGCCAGCACCATCCTCATGCAAAGACCAAACCCTGATCACCTCTATCCCTGGACTCCCTCCCATTTCATGCCCATGGGGCTGTGACCCACATGTAGGTCCCTTCACCAGCCCCTGCCTCCATCACTCCTCCCTAGACCTGGTGTTTTCTTGCAGGTTCCAGCTTGCATCCATTCCCCCTTCAGTCCCACACTGCTCCCGCTGCTAGAGCAGCTCGCCCTGGCCCAGCAGTGCTGTATTAAGTGGTCTGTCTGCTGATGGACTTTCTAATGCGTGTCTTGGAGCCTGATTTCCAACCCCCACCCCCCCCAACCAAGTCTTGCCACAGTCTTTGATTTTGAGGGTGCAATTTAGCTCTTGCAAATCATTGCCCTGCTTCGTTTCTGTGCCTGCAATGAAGTATTAGCAGTCGTTTGGTGTCTAACTTGCTGTTAGTGCCTGCAAACCAGGTAGTTAGACCTCTGATTACTAATATCTCTTGCCTGCAGTGGCAGGCACAAAAGCAAATGTCGTCATTGGCATTGGCAGAGCTAAATCTGTCCAGAGGAGGAGAAGGCTGAAGATGAGGCTTATCCTCTGCTGGATTTTGGGGCTCACACGTCCCCAAGCTGCACTGTTGGCAGCGGAGGGGACTGGAGAGCAGGAGCACACCGAGCACCCATTTGTGGCCCTGGGGAGATGCAGAGGTCCTTGTTTCAGCTCCTCTGCACCCAAGTTACTGCAGGGATTACAGCAGGAACAAGTGGTGATAAGGCACCAGGAAGGGCAAGTGCTGGGTGATGTGACAAGGACACTGAAGGTCAGTCATCACCCCCTCACCCTGGTCGCTCTGACAGGTCCCGGGCCAGGCAGTGGGGCTGCAGCAGGACTGGGGATGCCGGGGCAGATTTCTGTGCTCCCTGCAGGGGTTTCCAAGGACAGGATTTTCTCAGCCCACTGGCTCGCACGCAGGAGCTCGTGTGAGCAGCGTCTTGACACTAAGCAGAATTTGCTGCCAGAGGGACTTTTCCTTAGCAGGCAGGAGAGCAGCAACGCCACAGCTCTATGGAGAGCTCTGAGGGTCCTGCTCCTTCCCGACAGCCCTGTACCACAGATACCAGCACCATCAGCACTGCTGTAACCCTTCGGCCCCTCTGTGGCCATGCCAGCTCTGCCTGTCCTGGTGCAGCATCCCTGTGCCCCAGCCAAGGCTACGTGGGACAGGGGCTTCTTCTTAAGGCACCCTCCTCATCTTCCATTGCACTGGCTCCGGATGGAACAGGAGAGCTGGAGCAGGGCTGCAAGCGGAGCACACGCTCTGTTCCCCTTCCCCAAGCAGCAAACACCCCCCCCCCCCCATACCCTTCTGCCCAAGCAAACCCAGATGAGACGGAAGGGAAGGACGGGACTGGGTGACCCGGAGGACGTCGAGTCCAGGCGCTCATCTCCCGAAGCGGAAGGTGAAGCCCCCTTTGCTCCCGCTGTAGCCGTTCAGCTCCTGGGCCACGTTCCGCTGCGCTTCCCCCCCGGCCCGGAGCTCGGAGCCGCGCTGCCGGCCCGGCCGCTGCCCGGTCCCTTCCCCTCCATCGCCCCGCAGCTCCCGGGCGATGCTCAGCAGCGCGCTCCGCTCCCCGCTCCGCTCCTCGCTCCGCCCGCTGGGACCGAGCAGGGTCCGTTCCCCCCGGGGTCCCCGCTCCTGCTCAGGAGGAAGAGGCCGGACAGCGAGAAGGGGGCTCTCATCTGGAGGAAGGGCAGACATCAGTAAGCACAGAGCATCCTCAGGCAGCGGCCAAAGCCTTGGCTGGCGCATGTGGCCCATCCCACACCCCAGCAAGAAAACCCCTCCAGCACCCACTGCTCCTCTACACCAGCACCCAGTTGCAGCAGGGATGCTGGCATTAGGGTCTGAGCCCCCTTTGCCTTTCCTCTGCCTCCTTCAGACCTCCTCCCATTCATCTTTATCAGCTCCCTGCTGCGACTCCCCTGGTTCACAGCCAGGATGGGGCTGGCTGAGCCGGGCTATTACCACTCAGGTTGATGGGTTTCAGAGCTGCTCATTCCTCTCAGAAGCACTGCAGGGAGGACTTAAGTGCATTCACCTGAGCCAGGCTCATCCTCCCCGTGTGCAGGTCCTACCTGCAATGCCTTCCTAATGCGAGAGTGGAGGAAGGTGCTCGACATCCCTCTGCTTTATGGGGCTTGGAGGTGCTGAGCAGCGCGGCATGGAACGATGCTGGGATGACCTTGAGCACAGGCAGGGCTGCTCTGCTGCCCCTTCCTCCTCCCGCAGGTCTCAGCGAGGGGCAATGGGGGTTTTAATTATTATTATTATTATTATTACTTTTTGCTGGAGATTTTGCCTTAAAATGTCACCGCAGGTGATGGGGACACCGCAGGGTGTCTGCCTTATGCTGATGGAAGGATGCTGTGGGTGCTCCTTGCTTCTGCGCTGGGCACAGCTGAGCGCAAGACCCTGTTCCCTCCTTCCCAGCAACCTCTCTGCCCCTGGGGCTTCGCTGTGGGGTGCTCCCTGCCTGGTTCATACCTTCTGCCTGCAACGATTATTGTCTTCCTCTAGATTAGCCTTTGAAGGTCTATAATTTGAATGTATAGGCTGTAAATTGAGAGCTAATTCCAAGCAGGAGCATGATGATCCAAGCGGCATCTGCCTGCTGCCTATTAGAATCCCTTGTTTAGTCTATGAATGACTAGGTATTCCTGAAGTACACTGCCAAGGTGATCAAGTAAAGTCAAATAATCGTTAATTTTAATTGCTGTGTTGTTAAAAACGTTCCCATGATCTGTTTATCTGCCTTTCTGTTACCTCCCTCTTCCCACGCAGCTGCCCTTCATGGACCCAAATTGCTGGGTGCACCCAGAGTGGGGAGCAAGCAATCAGTGCTGCCGAGTCCCATCCCATCAGGGGTACCAGTGGGTGTCCAGACCATCGCCCCTTGCTGCCTCCCACCAGTCTTTGCCTCCCGCGCTGCCTATCAAGGTAAGGATGCAAAGCACGGGCAGACCCAGACCTGGACCCGGACCCGGACCCACACACTCACCTCTCCGCCTCGGGCAATGCCCCAGAACTGCTGCACCGGCCCCACTCCGTGCCCAGACTGAGCTGCCCAGCCCGCACTGCTGGCCATTAAATACCCGCTGGTGGTAATGGCTGTGTGACCCCTTAGTGTGTGGCCCTGCTGGGGAGGGGGACAAGGGGCCGGGCTGGTGGAGCCGCCACAATGGGAACTCGGGTGCTAATTAGAGCACCTCCCTCGTTTGCTGTCTCATTTAGAGGAGAGGCTGCGTGTGCTGTGCTGGGGCTGGAGCGGAGGCACCGGTAACTGATGGGGATGCTGGTGGGAGGGAGGGTTTTGTCTGGGGGTAGCAGCACCCTCCATCCCCTTGTCTGGTGCTGGGGGTGCCAGATGTGTGTGCGAGTGTGGTGGGTGCACAGCACTAACAGAGAACCCTGAACCCCCAAACCTGCTTAGGGCCTGGCGCTGCACAGACAAGCCCCAGTGCTCCCACCCTCCTTGGCCAGTGCACGCAGTCCCCCGTGCTAAAGTGTGGTCCCCAACGCTGGCACCTTGCAGCATCCCCTGGGGCTGCCTCCACTGCCCCATCCCTGCCCTGTTGGGTCTCCCCAGCCCTTCCCAGCAGCACACAGAGGGGTTTTGTCAGGCCAGACCCATGACGGGATGGTCCTTGGATGCCATGTGTGAGCCCAGTATCACCCGTATCACGGTGGGAGCTGCGGTAACGCGGTGCTGTTCCCTTTGCCATCACCACAACGGGCTCCTCCGCGGGCACAGCTGCCACCACACCAAGTAACGATGAGTTCCTTTTATTAAGGAGTTTAGAAAGTCCACATGTACAGCGTTGGACACCACTCACACACGACCTAGACTTCACAGCACTGCTACACACCACGACCTGGCCCAGGGCTCCGTCAGAACGTACGTGGCCAGGTCCTGGACCACCCCCCTCCCGAGCCATCCCTCCCTGGGGAGGTGTCACCGAGGATGGGTTTAGCCTAATTCAGGGCTGCGGCCCTCGGGAATAATCCTGGGAAATCCCGCATCTTGGCATGGATGAAATACCTCTCGTGCAAGTCAAAACAGAGTCATGAGGGAGTCCTGGGGGACAGGGGCAGGTACACAAGGGTGTGCTACCGACAAGCTGCACGTACAGCATCCCGCATCCCCTCCCCAGCACTGAAAACTACTGGTGGAGGGGGCCAGGGAAGGGATGAGCCTTCCCACCCAGACACACGGCTCCGTGTGCTCCTTGTCCTGAAGGTGAGCGCTAGAAAACCCGGCTACAGCCCATCCATAGGAACTGATGGACAGAAAGCAAACACGGGTGTTCTGCTCCCTGCCTGCGCACAGGGGTCCTGAGGTGCACAGGGAGATCCTTGGAAGCTGTTGGGGGGCTCCTGCTCTTGTGCTGGCTGGGAAATGCCACCACTGAGCATCCTCGAGTCCCATGGTTTGAGCATCCAGCCTGTGGGCAGGGATGGAGCCGGTGGAGCTGGTGCCTGCGCTCGGAGCTCGTCCTTGTCTGCAGGCTCAGAGGAGCATCTTTGGCAGAGGGGGAGCTGCGGTGATCCCGAACACATCACTGGTCCCTGTTTTCCTGCCAGGACAGGCAGACAGGGACTCGCCCAGCGGGAGGAAGGGGCTTGTCCAGCACAGGATCCAAGGTGGGGAAGGCTTAAAAGAAAGGAGAAGCACGCAGGGAAGATGAGCCTTTGATCTCCCTGTGCCTTAAGCTGCCCTGGAAACAGGGATGCTGGGAGCTTTCCTGCTGTCCTCGGGCAGTCTGATGGTGTCCCTTGGGGACAGGGCAGGGGTTCTGCTCCCCATCGCTGCTGTAGTACAAGCAGAAAAGCGTGGCAGGGTCCTGGCTGTCCCTCTCCCCGCTCTGCTCCCATAGAGCCCACTCAGGCCGGGTTGTTTTGGGGTCAGTTTTTGGACTTGATCCCCCATTTGAGTCTTTGCGGGGAGCCAGGGGCAGAACTGAGCCCCACACCTTGTAGCAGCTCCTCCTTGGGTTGGCTGGCGAGAAGCATCCTTCGCCTGTGCCTGGTTATCAGGGCCCTGCAGATGCTAAGCCCCACTTGGGGCTTCTTTTTGCAAAACCTTAAAGGGATTTGAAGAAATGAAAGGCTTTGAATATCTGCAGGTGCTGAGCCAGAGCATGGCTCATCCTGGGCAGAAATGAATGCGGATCCCCAGGCTGGGAGCGAGCAGAGCTTGGGTTGTGCTGTCCCGAGCCAAGGGGTTTGGGAAAGGTTGCAGCTTTTGGATGGTGAAAGCCCAGCGTGGATCCGAGTGGGTCTGGTTGGGGAGGGAAGAGCAGCAAAATGCAGCAGAGCCGTGCTGAGAGCCTTCCTCTTCTCCTCCTCCTCCTCGCTGTGCTCCCTGTTCCAAGCTCTGCTAAAACAGCTCCGTGCTGCTCAGTGCTGGGTCCTTGCAGCACCAGGCCAGGGGCGATGGGGACTGAGGAGTTTGTCCCTTTGTAGCTGCATCCTCTTGCAGGGGGAGAGGTGAGGGGTTTACAGACCAGAGAAGGAGTCACTGCCACAGTCTGGTGCCGGCACAGCCGAGCCCTCCCCATCCCAGTAGCACCATGGGGTGAGCTGGGACCATGGAGCAGCAGCTTTGCCCTCTGGGCTCTGTGGGGCTCAGGGCTCCACACACTGAGTGTCCCCCAGTCCCTGTTCAGCTCAGTTCAGAGGCCACTGCTGGGTGTCTGTGTCTGAAGCTGAGATGAATGGAGGTGTCCCATCTGCCCAGGCTGCTGCAGCCCTGCTCCCTCCCTCCTTTTCCTTGCTGGGTACCACTTCCCACATCACTGCATCCCACAGCCCTCTCTGCCATGGGCACCAGCTGTGGGTCACACTCTGTCCAGGACACCCAGTTTGGCTGCAGGAGAGCTGTGGCAGCAGGAAGGAAAGGTCCAGTGATGTCCATGGGTGCCTGGGGGCTAAAGACACCCTCAGTGGTGCTCCCAGGTGCATCTTGAAGATGAGTCAGCCCTTAGGGAGCATGGGGAGGGTGGGAGATGGGGGAATGGGGCGGTGGGGAAGGGCAGGGGGTGGGGGGGGTCTCATGCCATCCACCTAATTCTCCTCGCGGACAGGCCGGATCTTCATCTCGGTGAACTTGAGGGAGTACTGCCAGCCGGTCCAGGAGGACCACTCGATGCCGTCGGCGTAGGAGCTGTGGTGGCCCTTGAGGTACTGCCCGTTGAGGTTGGAGGTGTGGCAGTTGCGGTACCACCAGGCGCCGTGGTAGAAAGCCGCACAGTTGTTCTCCGAGTGGTCGTTGTCCAGGTCCTTGGTGGTGAACTTCATCCCGTTGTGCTTCAGGAAGGAGTCACCTGCCCCGGGGAAAAGGGAGCCATGATGGGCCCTTCCTGCCCCTCACCTCGCCTTTGGGCAAGCTCCTTGCCCTATGGAGCTCCCCTGGGCACCCTTTGGTGATGTACAAGGCACTTGGGGGTCACCCAGCCTGCAAACACCCAGATGCAGCCCCTCTCCTGCCTCCGGCTCCCTGTGGCTGCAGGGGTGCAGCACCGGAGGAGGATGCTGACGCCCCACCATGGGCTATGGGGTCCCTACCTGCTGTGCCCGAGTAGTCAGCGATGGAGATGGGGTACCCGTCCTCCTCGGGGTCAACAGAGAAGAGCCCCACACCGAAGCTGCCGTAGTGGGCGAAGGCGGTGCCGTTGTCAAAGTCCTCCAGGTCGATGCGGAGCTCGTAGCTGCCCTGCACTGTCAGCATGTGGATGCGCTTCAGCCCTGCGGTGGAGGCAGAGGGTGAATGCGGGGACCCCACTGAGGATGGAGCCCATACACAGTGTGTGGGGTAGGACATGGAGCGATTCCCACCCTCCAGCCCTTGCTCTGCTCTTGCTGCATGGCCAAGGGCATGGGTTGTGATTGGAGGCAACAGCCCCATCGCTTCCCTGCCCCTGTGCACCCACCCGGTCCCCCCCTGCCTGGTCTTGGTGTCCGTTCCCTTGCATAGCGGACCCCAGGCTTCCCAGCAGCGCTGCCAGCCCCACGCACCTAACCAGTGCTCCCCCGTCAGCTTCCCAAAGCCATCCCTGTAGGCTTCCCAGCCACGGAAGAAGTTCACGGAGCCGTCCTCCCGCCGCTGGAACACCTGAGGAAACACACAGGGCATCAGGTATGGGGCTGCTCCGAGCCTGCGCACCCCGAGCTCCCCGCCATGGTGCAAATTAAACCCTTTCAGCTCAGGGATGTGCTGCTGTGCAGGTCCCCAGGGGGATGCTGGATCATTATGTGCCAGCTCCCAGGGATGGGTGAGTTGGTTCAAAGCCCTCCGCTGGATCCTCTGCCTGGAAATGGGAGCAGAGCTTGGGAAAGCCACAGTGTGCTCCTGCAGGAAGGTGGCCAGTGCCCATGGGCACATCCCTGAGGCTGAGCACATCTTTCCTCCTCCCTTTTTCCTCTCCCGTTGCTCATCAGCACGTCATGCCCTGTGCGTTTCATCCCCCTTTTATCCATACTTTTGGGCTTGATTTGTTGACACTGATCCAGAAAATGCTGTTCTGTGTCCAGCCATTTGAACTTAATTAAGCCTCCAGCCCTGGATTAATTGCATTAAACTTGGCTGAGCCAGCCTGCCCGATTGCCACCAAGTGCTGCGTTCCCATGGCCGCAGCAATGATTTGGGAACAGCCATCCCATGTGCTGGCACCTTGGTTCTAAGTCTGGGCTGTGCTGCTGAGCCCATTCACCCTGGTTCCAGCATCCAGGCTCGGGCAATGCAGCCGAGTCCTTGTGCCGGCCGGGAAGCACCATGCTTTGCCGTGCCGCAGGGATGCTCCTGGCTGCTCCTACCCTCTTGCACAGGCAGGGTTTCATCCCAGAATGCAAAGGAGACTCAGCTTGTGTTTGCCCTTTACAATGGGTGTTTTGGGGGGCTGCAGATGCCCTGCTCCGGCGCGCTCCTCGGCACGGCTCTGATCCTGCTGTACTTACCTTCTAGAATTAGAGCCTTAATTTTTATCCCTGCGTTGAGCACTTGAGAAGCTGTGGTTAAGCCTATTTAAAGGGGCTTTCTTGAGGCTTGCTGGGAAGGGGGATGGTGCTGGATGGGGCCCTGAAGCTGATTTTCCTTGGCTCCAGTGCTGCCATGCAGGGAAGGCAGCAGAAGCGGCACCGATCTCCCTCCTAATCGGCTTTGACCCGAGGTTGTAAATAGGCCAATTGCTGAGCAGTGCCCAGGGAAGCGTGCGGGGCACGTCCCCGTGGCTGAGCTTTTGGCATGCTCAGGAATCATCACCCCAGGCATCGGAGCAGCCCTTGGAGCCTCGCTGCCCACCGAGCTCAGCCCCGAGGGGCTTGAAAGCAGGCCGGGAGGTTGCTGGACGTGCTGTGTCCTCCTGAGGCTCCTGCTCCATCCTCATCATCCCTTGTGCTTCACCCCTGCATCCGCCGGGGATGTGGGAGCTGCCTCCCCGCACCGGGGTGCTGTGAGCACCGGTGACCGCAGGCTCGCAGCCCTGCCTCGCTGCTCTGCTCCTCCTCATCAAATATGCATCACCCTCCTCTTAAGCAAAAAGGATTTCCTTCCCTTCTTTAAAGGCAAAGCTAAAATATTTATCTCCCCCGCTCTCTGCCTCCCCCGGTCGCTCTGAGCTCACAGGGCAGGGACAGGCTCCTGCAAAGGTGCCAAGCCAGAAAATGGGTTAAAACCAGAGGAAAGTGGGAGCGCCAGCCGGTGCCTGCCATGGTGCTAGCGGGGAGGGAGGGCTCTGCTCCTTCTCCTCACAGCCCCCCGATGCCAGCTCCCACCAAACCCCATCAGGCTCAAATCACAGCCACAGCCCGGGGAGATGCTCGACCTCACACCTCAGTGCTCAAGCTCCTGGTTTCCAGCAGCCACAGCATGGACCCCGTAGCCTCAGCCCTGTGGGGTTCCCTGCAGCCCCCATCTCCATCTTTGGGTTCAGTGATGGAGAAGACAACCTCGGAGCACCACAGGAGCCAGACCCTGGGAAGCGCCAACCCTGTGTCACAGCCGGTGAGCACTGTGACCGGCAGCACTGTCCCCACCGGCAGAAGTGTCTTGTCCCCGTTCATGGTGACACATAAATCCTATCCTTTGGGAACAGCACGTGTCACCTCAGGCTGCTCTCAGCCCCTGCCTTCGGCTCAGCCCAGCCTGAGTGTAAATGCATTGGTGTCTGCTCAAAACCCCAGCCCGCTCCAGGACCCTCCAGCGGGTGATGAGCAGGATGGGTGCAGCCATCCCCACCAGCATCCTCAGTGTGACAGGTGCCCATGAAGCTGGAAGCTGTCACTTAACATTACCACAGCCCTCACCCTGCTGGCACAGCCTTTTCTTACGCATCCTTCAGCTTTCCCACTGTGGACAATGATGCTGAGGTGGCCAGAGCCATCACAGCACCGTTGCTTACGGAGCCGAGATGCTGATCCCAGCTCCAGCAGGGCAGCGATGGAGGCTCAGGGGCACCATGAGGTGCATGGAATGTTTGCAAAGACTTCCAAAGACAACAGCATGTGAAGAGGCAGCTTTTTCGGGCCTCCAGGATGCTGAGCCTCCCCCTGCCCTCCATCACCCTGTTATTACTTTAATTACATGCTGGAGGTGAGTGCCAAAGTGGGAAGTCGGGGTCAGGATGAGCAATTACATGGCTGCATCCTGGTGCTGCTGCCGTGCTTGGCTCAGCTGCAGTTAAAGTCGGTGCTGAGCACAGGATGCGGATGCTCCTGTTGCCACTGAACCAGACCATCCCAGGCTGGATGTGGCCACAGTGGGAAGCAGAAGCGATGGTCCAGCGAGCGCTGTGCCTTGCTCAGCCTTCCCAATGAAGACGAATGACCAAGGACCTCCGGCAAGCGAATGGGGTGACACTAGAGGTGAAGCAATGGGGACAGGATGGTGCTGAGCAGCCACCCCGGCCAGGTTTGTCCCCAGCAGGCTGTCAGGGCAGCCCCCCGAGGTCCCTAAGCTGTCCATGCAGGCTAAAGCTGAGCTCAGCAGCTCCCAAGCTCCCGAGTCAAAATTGATTCAGCTGCTGCCATCGCTTCCATCCACCCACCCACATGCAAATGAGCCCAAATGTCAGGAGTGAGCGCTCCGGAGGAGGAGGAGGAGGGAAATTTCCCAGGCTCTGCGCTGCACCTGGAGCCCTGGAGAGCCCCAAGGACCACCCTGCACCCCCAGCCCCATGGGACATGGCTCAGACACCCCCTGCACCCCAAGGGACCGCAGGTACGTTTAGGACCCTGTGCTGCAGAGCAACCCCAGGAAACGGGAACGGGAGCCTGGGGCGAGCATCCTCAGCGCTGCTCTGGATGCGCCCATCTCCGGAGCGCCGGGATTCGGCACCTGGCTCGGCTCCTTGGCCGCGCCTTGCCCGCCCCGCTGACAGAGCCCACGGCGCTGCTGGTGTCAAATCCTTCCCTTCGCCCCCTTCCCAGCCCAGCCGGAGCCCTCCCGTCTGCAGCAGCTTTAAATAAGCCCCTGAGTGCCTCGCTAATCACCTTGGGCTGCGATTCGGGCAGCGCTTGAGCTCGGCTGGCGCTGCCGGAGGCTGCGCTCGGGGCTCGCAAGGACCCTTCCCACCCTGGCGAGCCAAGGGCGGTCCCCCCTTTTCCCCTCTATGAGCCCCCCAGGAGCTGGTTCCCGGCCGTGCCTCAGTTTCCCCACTGGTACAAGCTGTGCATGGCCGCCCGCAGGGGTGGGCGCTGGGCACTGAGGTCGGAGGCTCAAGAGCCCCTCGAGGGCAGCGGGGTAAGCTCTGTCCCGGCACTGCTCAAAGCTTCTTATGGGAATCAGATCGTGGGGATTTGTTTCCTAGAGCACCCAGATGGAGGGGTGCTGGCTGCTGGGCTCACCCAGCCTGGCCTTAGGGAGAGGCTGCTGCCCACTGAGCCCCTGCCAGCTCCCTGGCACACCCTGCTCACTGCCTCTGTTACTATTACTTATTATTATAGAATCATAGAATAATTAGGGTTGGAAAGGACCTTAAGATCATCCAGTTCCACCCCCCCTGCCATGGGCAGGGACACCTCACACTAAACCATGGCACCCAAGGCTTTGTCCAACCTGGTCTTGAACACTGCCAGGGATGGAGCATCATGGGGACGTTGCAGCAAAGCAAATAGGCCAGGGCAATGAATGAGTGAATGAGCGCAGTGAATGAGCCCCCCTGTGCACCCCTGCATTAGACAAGGCAAAGTGTGCCATGTTTGGGGTCTATCCTGGTCCCAGCTCACCAGGACCACAGGGACAGGGCAAAGCACAGCCACGTGTCCCATGGCACCGGCCCCACCAAGGATGAGCTCCAGCCATGGCATCCAGCTCCCTGCATTAAACCACCCTCCATTTCCAGCTCCCCAGACCCAAGGCAAAGCCACTGTGCTCTGGCTGGAAGCACTGGGCAGTGCTGGCACAGGTAACATGGCCAAGCCCATTTGCTCACTTCCCTAAGGGAGCCGGCCCCCCATGCACAGCCAGACCCCATTAACATTTCTCCCCCAATCCCAATGACACATTCAAGTGCCAAGAGTGACATCTCCCACCCCAGCATCCCATGGCCAGCGTTGGCAGCACGCTGGCATCCCCAGCACGGCAGCAGCTCACCGTCCAGCCACCCCCATCGGTTGTCATGTCACAGTAGACCTGGAAGCCGGAGGGATAGTGTGTGGGGAAGATGGAGTAAATCCCATCCTCTTGCTGTCCGCTCACATAGATGTCAAAGCAGTCTCGGGGCCGGGAGCCTGCAGGGTGGCATTGGGATGGGGTGGGACAAGAGGAAGGCTGGTTAATTAGTGATCTAATTTGATGTCTTGCCATCTCTTTCAGGCTCTCAACCTTGCTGCCAGCTCTAGTTGGCTGCTTGGTGCTGCCTTGCTCTTTCTCCTCTGATGCTCAAAGCGAGTGATGCTCAGGGGGATGCAGCCACCATGGGGACCTCTCCGGGCAGCCAGGACTGACCCCGTGTCCCTGTGTGATTGCAAAGGCAGGCAGGGACCCAGATGGGGATGAGGGAGCTGATGCCTGGAGGTAGCTGCAGGCAGTGTGAGCACTTGCTCACAGCCCCAGGACAGTCTTACTCAGCTTCATCTCAACCAAATGCTGAAGAATGTGGCTGTGAGTCCCGTACAGCGCTGCCCTCTGTGCCCGAATGGAGGTGAATGGTCTCTTCTTGCTCTGCTTTTACCCCTTTTACTCTGCTTTTTTTAGAGCTGCATCTGTATGGAGAGCAAGGAGGTCTGCAAGGGTGTGAAGTGGGTTTTGTGCTGGCTTGGCAGGCTGGTTTGTGGACAACTGCAGGCTGCACGGTGAGAACCGCTCCTTCTAGGACACAAGTTTCCATCTCCCTTCTGCTCCATCTCCCCCCTCACCTTGCCAACCCCTCTGCTCTGTTAAACCCCTTCTCCGGGCTGGTTTCCCCCACCTCACACAGTGTTCTCCCTCCTTTTCACGGGGGCAGAGACCTGCCAGAGGGACTGATGAGGACCCACATCTCACCATTGGAGCAGCCCCGGGGCCGCGCTCCCCTGGCCGGTGCTCGCTGCAGGTCAGCCTTGAGCCGGGGCCGGGCTCCACCTCGCTCCTTCTGCAGCGTGTCGAGGACGTCGCTGACGGAGCTCACCAGCCGAGCCATGTTGGTCTGGCTCTCCGAGAGCAGCTGTGGGCAGGAGGGGGAAAGGAACTGTGGTTAAATGTGGTTAAACCCCTTCCACACCACAGCCCCTTCACCACCCGCAGTGAGGATGCTCTGCCTGCTCCCATGGCCAGGCTATGGCAGCAATGCTCCCTGCCAGGTTATGGGCTCGTGGGCACGCAGTGGGGACATAGAAACCACAGCAGATCCCATATGGCATCTCCAATGCTTTTTGGCTGGGGGTGTCAGGGTCCAGATAGCTCCTATTTGTCACCCAGACTTGGGGGTGTTGGTGACGCCACCCCGTGGGATAAAGAGCATCTCTGGGCAAGGGATGGGATCATGGAGGAGGCAGGAATAGCCGTGTCCTGAGACAGCCGCCAGCTCTCTGCCATCCCCTGAGGTGACCCGGGCTGGGTGAGTGACATGGGGTGGCTTGTGTCAGAGCAGCAGGATGGGGAGTGAAGTGAAGCAGCGGGATTGAGCAGCTCCGGATGGAGGGAGATGAGCACCAGGAGGGATGGGCATGGAGCCGAGCATCCAGTGGTGCCCCTGGCATACCCAGGTAAGTGTTTCAACACAGCCCATAGACTGGGAAATGTGAGGGATTCTAAATAAGGGGGGGGGGGGGATGATTGCTGCATGAACAACCCTTGGGATGGTCCTGTGCTGTGCCCAGCTCCACTCAGAGCTGATCAATTCCCGACCACCCATCTTAAACCTCAGTTCATCTCCCCCGGATACCATGGGCAAGGGATGCAAGCAGCCATGTCCCTGGGGACATCAGTACATGAGGGTCCCCAAGGAGCACCTGGCATCACCCCCAGCCCCAGCTCACCTGGATGAGCCTGCCCTGCTCTCCCTGCAGGGCGCTGAGCTCCTGCCCCATGGCGCTGTGCCCCTTCTTGAGGCCGTCGCAGTCGGCACGCAGCTGCACGGCGTGTGTCAGCAGCTTGGCCACCTCATCCGCCACGGTGACCAGCAGAGCCTTCTGCTGGCTCTTGCTGGCCTTGGCCTCGGCATCGTGGTCGGTGACGGCGCGCAGCAAGGAGCTCTGCAGCCCCTCCAGGCGCCCCACGGTGCCCGCTGCGTCGGGGCAGTTGGGGTCGATGAAGATGTTGATGCGGGAGCTGTCGGCTTTCTCGATGGTGACCAGCGCGTTGGCTTCCTCAGGGTTGGTGCTGATGACCGGGGGTGACTCGGTGACGGGGGTGTGGTAGTGGTTCATGAAGAGGATGGCCCCCGTCACCGTCACGGCCAGGAGGACGGCCACCGAGAGCAGGACCGTGCACAGGATGTACCCGCAGCTCATCCTCTGCGGGCAGAGACACGGACACCATCGCACCCATCCCGCTGCCCTTCATCCCACAGGTGGGTTCAAACCCTCACAGGCTTTGGGGAGGGGGGGGGGGGGTCCAGCAATGAGGGAGGTGATGTTGGACATGGGGGTGATGGCAGAGGAGGGGACCACGGAGACCATGGTGAACAAAGCAGCTAAACCCGCCTGGAGCTGGAGGCATGAAATAACAACGAGAGCAGCCGATGGTGTGTGTTATTTAAGGAGGTGATGCTCCAGTGGAGGTGCAGTGCAGGGATCCCTGCTGCCCTGGGCACAAAAATGGGGAGAAAAAGGGAAAACACCCCCTGTATCCCCCAAAGCAGGGACTGCAGGGGTAGCAAGGAGGAGAGGGAAGGCAGGGGCTGAACCAAGAGGAGGCTGCAGGTAGATGATGGGGACATGGCACCCAAAGCATCGTGGGGACCTGCTCTGCGCAGGACCACACATCCCAGTCCCCCTTGTGCCCTCGCTGCCTGCTGGTGGGGAGCAGAGCTGCTCACAAAGCCCTCAGACCTGATCCAGAGCTTCTGGTGATGGGGAGTTGCTATAGAAAAGGTCTCTGACACCCCCCCAAAGCCCCTGGGGCAGCTCTGCTGCTGCAGGGACCCATTGGCTCAGCCCATGGGAGCTGCTCCGTGCACACCGAGAGCCTTTTCTCCTTGCAGAGTGGGAAGCGCTGCCATCAACGAGAGGGAGCGAGCTGCCTCCTAACCCCATCAGCCCCTGTCCCCCCCGCCAGCTCCCCTTCTCATTGCACCTGCAGGACAGAGGCTGTGATTCTCCCCTGACCCCGGCCGCGGCTGTCACAAGGCATTGCAGGGCTGCCAGAACGCTGCAGATTCGGAGAGACAAAGCCTGCTTTCCCCAGAAACGAGGGGAAAATTGCTGCATCTGCAAAGATTGCCCAGGCCCTGTCCCCTCCTGTGCACATCTATCTGGAGTGACACCTTCCTTCAAGCACCCTTCAATTCATGCACGCTCCCGCAACCATTTGCATTAAGGTGACCCCCCAGCTGCAGTGGGGCTGGTCTGACCAAGGGCCTGCGGTCCATGCGTGTCCCACCAGCCCCAGGGGATGCTCTGGGTGTTTTCTCTAGCCCATAGAGTGAGGCTGGAGATGCAAATGGTGCTGGGTTGAATGCGAAGCTACCCTGCAGGGACCTTGCAGTGAGGCAGCCCCAGGCTCAGCCCCTTGGTGTGCATTAAAAGATGTCAAAGGCAATGAAGGGAGCTTTTGGTGAGCAACACGTGGAGGAGTTTGCCCTGTGATTGTGGATATGGAGCCCTGGCCTGGGGGCACGAGGGGCAGCGGGGGGGCAGCAGGATGGTGCCAGACAAAGGTGCCTGTCACTGACAACCTTGCATGGACAGCAGGGTCCTGGGCTCAGTCCAGCCCCTCAGCACCCCGCAAGCATAGAACTGACAGGAGGGACCAGAGGCCGGCATTGGGTGGTTTGGGATCTGAAGCGTGAGATGTCCCTGTGGCTGTCCTGGCTATCACAGCAGCTCTGCATCCTCCCATCCCTCACGCTGCTGCTCCCCACCATACTGATGTTCCCAGCTCAAATCCTGCCTGCTGGGACACACAGATGGGCTGCGATGACCGAGGCACCCATTTGAGCATCAAGGGTTTCAGGAGCAGAGCCACACAGGGCTGATGCTCATTTCCTGCAGCCACACAAATCCTTTAACACACTGAAACCCCGCAGCTGTATCCAGATGTTTTCCAGCCTTCAAGCCCCAGCATCGCTGCCCTCCCACTGGCACTGGGAATTGGGGAAGGAAGCGGGGACCAATCCCCTTGGCAAGTGACCCCCCTCTGCTTGCCACCACCAGATCCCACGCGGCGGCAGCTTTACGAGTCCCACAGCATCCTGCTGGCAGGTTGTGTTACCTGGCAACCTGCAGTGGGGAGAGGAGGGAAACGCTCCACCAGCGGCACCAGCGATGCTCCGAAGTGGGGTGTGGGTCCCCTCAATCCCCTCAGCTCCCAGCATGGGGCCCTGCAGACACCTCTGCCCCATGCTCCTGCCCCAGCATGGACACAGCCCTGGTGACTCCAGGGTCTTTGCTGCCCGTGCCATGGCCTTAGGCTGCTGGGTCTTCCTGGCAGGACCTTCAGACAGCTGCAGGACATCGCCCTGCCCTTGGTTATTGATGTCCCCCTGGGGACACCCATCGGGCTGGAGGTCCCGGTGTCTCCACATCACCTCTTCCTAAGGAGAGCAGAAGCTGTGAGTCCGGGATGTGCCCAGGAAGAGCAGAACCTGCTCTGGAGCTGGGGATGGAGCTTGGGAAGGAGCCTCGGGCAGGAACCACGGCACTGTTGTACCCCGGCTGTGAAGCTGAGCCATGACCTGCGCTGGTTTAGGTTTAGCTCAATGCTTGGCCACCCATGGGACAAGGTCCTTGGTGCCCCAGTCACACTGTGCCTGCCCTGCACCCTGGGGCTGTGGGTCCCCAATGCCCATCATGCCCCCCAAGTGTTCCCCACGAGTGCCCGTGCTGGGTGAAGGGAGACAGCAGCTCCAGCGCATGCAGCCTGTGGGGAGGGAAGGAAAGGAGCCAAATTGTCCCCGAGACAGCGAGAGCAGAGCTGGAGATGGGCTGGTCCTTGGGGAGCATGGATGGAGGGAGGTGGCAGGAGAGGCTGAGCTCTGCCGTGGGAGATGCTCCTCGAGGAGGAGGTGCCCTTTGCTCCTGCCAAAGCCGCTGCTCTGTGCCGGCTCGCCAGGCAAGCTCTGAGCTGTGCTATGGTAGCAGTGATCACAGGCACCCCTGGGCGCTCTGCTCACCGAGCCATGGTACAAACCAGGACCCCTGCCGCGCTTCTGGGGTGGGTGAACGCTGAGGTTTGCATTGCCAGGGCTCAGCTGCTGCAGCAAACTTTAGTCCAGGTACCCCCCACGTTACTGCCGGGGTGCCCCCAGCTCCAAAGCAGCCCCAGGACAGCAAGGGCCAGCCCCTGGACCCCCCAACCCATTGCTCACTCTAGAGCTGTTCCAACAGCTCATTGCACAACCCAGCCACTCACTGCTCCCCTGCCCGTCCCTCTCCATCCTCCTGCCTGCCCAGCTCTGCTACTGCTCAGCTTTGTGCAGGGCTGCAGCCCCCTTCCTGCTCACCATGGGGCTGTAGCTCCTGTACCCCGCTGCTCCCCACATCCTCCTGGAGCCTAATGCTGCACTTCCCTGTGTCCCTGCAGGCACAGAGGCAGACCAACTGCATCCCACTCCCGTTACCTGCTCTCCTCCGTCATCCAAAGCCTGCCTGCCACTGCTCCTACAGCACGCCGTGCCTTGCAGCTCGGGGAGAGGAAGAAGAGGAGAGGGCTGGTGATCACGCCAAGCTGGCTCCGTGGGTGAGCATGCAGGTGGGATGGGATGGGATGGGTTTCCACTGGAGCTTACAGGAGCTGGGAAACAGGCTGTGCAGCATACTCTGTCCCTCCTTTGCAAGCCCCTGCCTGAACCACTGCTCTGGACTGTGTTGTCCAGCCCCGTATGGGTGTTGGGGTCCGATCCATCCTATCCAGCTCATCCTTGGAGCCATGGGGGGACACAGAGCTGGTTGGATAGAGGCTTCAGCCAGATGCCACTGCTTGGAGCCCTGCATGGAGGGGATGCGTGCCAGGAAGGGGAGAGGAGAGTGAGGTTCCTCGCTGGGGTCTGGAGCTTCTGCTGTCTCCCAGTGCTGGCAGCCCCTCTCCAGCAAGGCAAGGGAGCCCTTTGCCATGGATGAACTGAGCGGGGAGGAGAGGGCTCAGAGGAGGGCGTGCAGAAGGGAGAAGTCAGGCAGCAGTCCCTTTCCTGCATCGCCGCAAGTGGAAGGAGGACAGGGAAGTGGCAGACCTGGGAGTCAGCGTGTCTCATGGCTGCTCACCCAGCATCGGGGTGCAGAGCAGCGGCGGGCGCTGCCCTCTTCAGCTCCTTCCCTTGACCCACAGGCTCCATCGCTGTCCCCCAGCTCTTCCCAGGCACTATTGCCCACGCTCCGCACTCCTTCCCTTCCCACCACGCCGCTTTGTGCCTCCGCTCCCCCACCTGCTCGCAGCCCCTCGGCGCCTGGAGGCCGGGCAGATGGCCGCTACCTGCGCGCTGGGCTGGACACGTGCGGCCGGTTGTGAGAACAGGCTCCGGCACGTGTGCGGCACCGCAGGCTCTGCCACCGCTTCACCGCACCCCACCGCAACACCAGCACCCTGCGGGGGTCGGTCCTGGAGGTTAAGGCAAGGCCGCAAGCAGCTGGGAGACCCCGAAGCGAGAGGGATGCCTCTGGCTGCAGCAGGGAGCTGAGATGCCAAATCCCTTTTGCAGGGTTATTTAAGCAGTTTAAAGCATCGCAGGCGTGTGTGGCTGCCCCAGAGCGTCACCCGCTGCCCGGCAGAGAGGCTGGAGGGTGGGGGGACACTGGGTGCGGGTAAAGAACTCGGTAATTGGGGATGGGGGTGACGGGAGGCAGCGCGGGGGCTCCGCACGGCGGGTACAGCACCGGACTGCACCGGGAGAGAGGCTCCATGGGGAGAACCGAGATAAAGGGAAGGGGGATAAAATGCGGTGGGACCCCCGGGCTGCCCCCCGCTGTCCCCCGCCGCCCCCCGCCCTGTTACCTGCGATTTCTCCTGCTGCCCATCCTCAAGTTGCGAGGCTCCTCCCATGGTTTTCCAGCGCTCGTTCCCCATCGCGTTGCCAACTTCCAGCACAAGTGCTCAGAGCCCCCCCGGACCCCTTCAGACCCCCGGCCCCGGCAGCGCAGCCCCCGGCCCGGCTGGCCGCGGCGGGAGGACGGGCGGCGGCGGCGGCGGAGGAGGAGGAGGAAGAGGAGGAGGGAGGAAGAGGAGGGAGGGAGGACACGGGCACGAACACGGGGGTGGATCTTCCCTCCCCGCCCGCCCCGCTCCCCCCCCCCGGGGCTCCCCCTGCCCCGCTCAGGGGACACCGCCCGGCGATGCCCCGGGGGCTCCCCCGCTTTCTCCCCCAACCCCGGTGGCTCCGGAGTCATTCCGGATCCGAGCCCCTCGCCCTGCCCCGGGGCTCCGCAGCTGCCCAGATGCGGCGCACAGCTGGAGCGGCGGCAGCAGGTAAGGAGCGGTTGGGGCCAGCGGGTCCTGCGTGTTACGGGGTGCTCGGGGCCGGGGGGGGGGGGGGTGGGTGTCCCGGGGACCCGCTCACCCATTTTCCAAGGCTCCGGTCCCCATCTCAGCACCCCATGGTGACAGGGCTCAGATCCACCGCTAAGGCAGGGATGGGCAGAGAGGGGGAGGGCATTGGCATTGCCCCCCTCCTCCAAACCAGTGTGCCCAAGGGTAGCAGGGGGCTCTTAACAAAACCCAGTGTATGGTGGAAAGCTGGTGCTGGCTGGGGGGAGGCAGCGGCAGGGACCCCCGGCACACAGGGTCACACCGATGCCCACTGGAGCATCCCTCGCCCAAAGCCCAGCGTTCCCAGCCCCAAGCAGCAGTGCTGGCCCTGCGTGCAGCCAGCTCCCACACACCATTCCCCCCCCCCACATCCTGATTTACCACCATCTCTCCGGGATGTGGTTTTCTTTACCGTACCTTTGCAGCACCTCCCTTAAATCTTTTATTTGCCGCTTGTCTGACCTGCGGGCAGGAGCGCTACTGAGTGGCTCAGAGGAGCATCCTGAGAGCAGTGCGGGCTCAGCACCGGGCTAATCCGGCTGGGGGGAGGCTGGATTCTCTCTTGAAGCCCAAGGAAATCCTCCTAGAGACCCCTGCACACTCCCCCTCCTGCAGTGTGGGGCTGGCCCCTGGGCAGACAGCACAATGGGGCTGAGGGATGCTCTGAACCCCCCTGGCTCTCATTCCCTGGAGCTTAACCCCAATTGAAACCCTTCCATCAGTTCCCATGTGGCTTCACTGGGGTGGGGGCTGCCTCCCTGCCATGGCAGGTACCACAGGGGTGGCAGGTTGTGTGTGCTGGGGGCCAGGGGTCCAAGCAGCATCTCCCAGGACACATACCCCATTTCAGACAGAGCTGCCTGAGTGCTGGGCTGGCAATCAGTGCCCTAAGGCTCTCTGGGGCGTGTTGTCTCCCAGCCAGGTCCAAATCCTGCCTTTGGCTGCAGGGATGTTGTGAGGATTTACCGGGCAATGCTCATGGCTGGCAGCCCAGCTCCTTCCCTGCGGATGCTTTTCAAGGACTTCCCTTTACAGCTGAGACCGTCCAGCTCATTGCACTGGTGGGGTGCTCAGCACGCCAGCGCCAGCCAGGCTCCATCCCCGCACCACTTGGCTGCTCTGGAAGCAGGAGGCCGCGGGCACCCAGGAGGCTGTTTTAGCTGAACTCCAAACAATAAAAACTTATCATTAAAAAGAAATGTATCTTGGCTCCGCGCGGCCTGGCAGCGCGGGCAGGAGTGATTCAGTGCCTTGTCAGCCCTGGGTGTTAGGCACGCCGAGCTGCACAACTGGACCCTCTCCAAGTCCAGCAACTCATTTTCTGCAGATGGAGCCGGGACCGTGCAGCCGCTGACGTTTAATTTGCAAGCCAACATACCTTGACATCACCCACCGCCGACCCGCGGGGCTGCTGCGGGAGGGGAGGATGGGGTTGTGCAAGCAGGGCTGGACACTTGTAGCCCCTGTCGTGCGTGGGGTGACCCTGCTGCACCCTGACATAGGGGTGCAGGGTCTTGCTCAGTGGGTGTCAGTGATGCTCCTGGACTTTAGGCTCGTGTGTGGTGCTCTGAGCTGCGGCAATAGAGCGGTGAAGGGCTGTGTTTCTATGGCTGCCCCATCCCTGGCAGTGTTCAAGGCCAGGTTGGACGGGGCTTGGAGGAACCTGCTCTAGTGGAAGGTGTCCCTGCCTGTGGCAGGGGGCTGGAATTGGATGAGCATTAAGGTCCCTTCAACCCAAACCATTGTATGATTCTACAAATGCGAGTGATGCTCAGGGTAAGCCACCCCAGCAGGTTTGCTGGCCTGGCTCATCACTGACTCACACGAAGCCATGTCACCTCCTGCTACCCGTGATGGGGTCTGGCTGTAGATGCAGCACTGGGACCTGGGAAGGATCCCTGGCTCCCACCCTGCACCTCCAGTGGCCCCACAGCCCTGGATCCCCACCAGCTGTGCCAGCAGGGATGGGATGCTCAGGGTGTAAGGACTTGGGCACACACTGGGGCCAGGGTCCATTGGGCACAGCCAACTCCCCGGGGCTGACAGCAGCTTGTTTGGTTGGGGAGTGGGCTTCTGCCAGCAGCCCAGCCTGGATCAATCACAGACGAGGGATGATTCATGTCTCGGGCTGTGGCCGGAGGGCAAAAACGGAAGAGAGGTTTGATGTGAGGATGCCGGGAGGCTGCTGCGGCTCCCAGCAGCATTTCCCTTCCCCGCACTGGCTCTGCTCACAATGCCCGGGGGTCCTGGCTTGGCCTGAGGGCAGAAAACAACTGAAGCAACAAGAGATTGAACCCGTGCACTGAAATGAGTCTTTTAAACCCAGATCCAGACACTGTCTTTTATTCCGTGGTCCAAGACTGTGGGAATCACAGCGGTGGTGGCGGTGGGCAGGGGCTGGGGTCAGGTTGGCTTCATGATCCTGTGGGGGCATGAAGAGTGAGACACCATGAGACAGAGCTCAGTGGTGCTTCACCCTCCCTGTTGCGCTCACGGTCTGCATCCCCAGGGCAGCCGAGAGGACCCATGTCCACCTGAGACACGGAGCGGTGCTGGGATGGGGGAAAGGCTGACGAAGGGACCGACCCCTTCCCGTGGCTGGTGCCACCCGAGGCAGAGCCGTCGCTGTGCACACGCAGCATCAAACATCATCACCATATTAATAATGAAAGGGCAGCTCCTTTGGAGCTCTTCGCCCTGCGCCGATGAGAGCTCGCAATGCAGAGCAGGCACGTGAGCCTCATCCCAAGCAGCCCTGGGGAGAGCCGTGCTGTGGTACCCAGATTGTCCTCCCCCAAGCCACTGACATGGGGTGACAGAACCAGGCCAGGTCCCCCCTGGGTGCTGTCCTTGTTCTGAGGTTCCCTGTATGGGAGCGGGGCAGCCCATGGTGACCCCACTCCTGTCCCCTGTGCAGGATCCCCCATCCCACCGTGTCCCATAGGAAAAGGCCATTTTGGGGTCCAGGGAACAGCCTATTTCTTGCAAGGGCAGAGCGCTCTGACCATCAGTGACACCACTCGCTGTGCCAGGGCCTTTGCTTGCCACTGGGGGAATCAATACCTCAGACAATGAGACAAACTACCTGCACAGAGGGCTTGGGCTGCAGACAAAAGTGGGTCTGTGGCAGCAGCTCCCGGGGCATCTCTTCTGCTCATCCCTGTGCAAGAGCTTTGGGTCAGCAAAAACCTGTCTTTAACCCCTCACTTTTGTCCAGAGCATCTCCAAGCCTGGTTGCTCTTTGTGAGGATCTCAGCAGGACCAGACCGAGGGCTGAGCGTCCCTTCTTTATCCTCTGTGCTAAACCCCCTGTGGATGCCCTCCTCCAGGCAGGAAGGACTCAACCCCCCTGTGCTGGGTGGAAGTGGAGCACCCTATGCCCACCCTGCTCCCATCCCATGCCCATCTCCCTGGTGGTGCCCTGGTTGGGAGGACCCTGCTGTGTTCCCCCCGCAGTCTTTTCTCAGGCTCTTTTCTTTTTCTCCCACCAAACACTACAAAAGCCCCAAATCCTCCACAAATGAGAATTCTCTTTTTGTTCCTTGTTTCCTTTTGCTTCCTGCCACGGCACGGTATCGATTGGAGCTGATGTGCTGTAATCCACTGGTTCTGTGAAAAGCTGGCATCCTGGAGTCCCTGGAGGGGCCAGATCCTGCCCTGGGGTGGATCTTGCTCCTCTACGAGGCTTGGGGTGCAGCAGGAAGTCTGTGTCCCCCCTATTCCATCCTATCCCACCCCTTGGTGAAGAGAGGCAATGCAAGGAGCTCCTTGGTGGGGAAAGGTCCTGTCTTAGAGCAGAGGCAGGTTGGATCCTGCTGGGATGGATGTTCAGAGTGCCAGGCACCTAAGGGAGCCCTCCTGTCCTTCCAATGGGGCAGGGGATGGTGGCACAAGCGGACACAGGAGCTGGTGAGAGGGTCTGGCTGTGGGGCTCTATAGAGAGGAGCAATTCAGCTTCCCAGCAGCCGAGAATCCAGCCTGAAAGCAGCTCAATTTGGGGTGCATTGCTGTACCTGCATCTGCAGCCCCTCTGCTCCCCCCTTCCCCACTCCACCGCCATTGCTGCTCCATCCACTTACTGATGGCAAATGGGCTGGAGCTCTGGGAAGCAAGGGAAGAGGGATGGAAATCCAGCCAAAATCAGCCAAAACCCTTCCAAAACCGCTGGCAAGCTTCTCATGTCAAACCTTTTCCCGCATGAAGAGCAGCAGCCCGGGCCATCTGGAGGAGCATATGCAGGTGCGCAGGAGGTGGTGGTGCCTTCCCTGTGCCATCACCATCAGCAGCACCCCTAAAGGGCTTTTAGCTGGTAAACACTAACCCCAAAGGAGGGGTGGGCACCCCAATCCCAGCCGGATCCCTGGCTTTCCGTCCCCAGCTACCAAGAGCTCTCTGTTTAATATAGCAATTTGCAGAAGTGATGATGAATCCCAACGCAAACTGCAATAGCGGCCGAGTTTATTGCAAGACATTAATTCAGTGGTTTAATTGAAAGCGCAGGAGCAGGATGGGAAAGCACCAGCCCCGGGTGGGAGGAGGATTGCTGACCCTCCTCAGCTGTACCCACATCCACCCCTAATTCCCGGCAATCAATGAAGCCCGAATTAGCAGATTTACTCCTCAGAGGACTCCTCCATTGGCTGAGCATCACATCCCGCATCCTAAAGCCCCAAGTCTCCTAGCAACTCCCCAGCGCTGCCTCTGCCCACCCATTAACCCTTTCCCTGGAGCCCTCTGCACCGTGAGCAGCGCCCCAAAGCTTTGAAGGCATCGCTGCCACGTTGGGTGTGAGAAGAGCTTATGCAGCAAAGAAACCTGCGGTGGTACCTAAAGGATGCTCGGGATGCTCGGCTGGGCTGGCTAAGTCAATACTCAGAGGGTTTTATTATGGGTGGCACAGAGAAATCCTCAGGTTTATGTACTGATGGCAGAGGGTTGG